AGCACGGCCAGGTTTTTCCTCATACTTAAGGAAATGGCTTTCTTTCAATTGAAGACTCTCAGGAGTGGAGTATATACAGGTCACTTTCAAACTTACATAGAAGTATAGGGACGAGGAGCAGCAGTAAGCCATTCGGCCCTTTGAGCCTGCTCCTTCAATTGGATCATGGCTGATCATCCAACTCAGTCCCCAGTCCCAGCTTTCTCCCCAGACCCCTTAGCCCTAAGAACTTTATCTAACTCCTCCACAAAATTATTCAATTTTTGGCTTCATTGCTTTCTGTGTTAGAGAATTTCACAGGCTCCCCATTCTCCAGTTAAGACACTTCTCCTCACCTCAGTCCTAAATGGCCTGCCCAGTATCCTTAACACTGATCCCTCGTTCTGGACTCTTCTCCCCCGCTCCCCCTCCCCACTTCCTGTGGTTTCCCTGCCTTGCCCTAACCAACACAGTTTCTCTTCACAAGTCAGTCTTGCCATCCCAGGAATCAGTCTAGTAAACCTTTGCTGCACTCCCTCCATCGCCAGAACACCCTTCCTCACATGAGGAGATCAAAACTGTACACAATACACCAGGTGTGGTCTCACTGAGGCCCTGTATAATTGCAGCAAGACATCCCTGCTCCTGTACTCAATTCCTTTTGCTACAAAAGTCAATCCCATTTACCTCCTTCACCTCCTGCTGCACCTGCATGCTTACTTTCAGTGACTAGTGTGTAAGGACATCCAGGTCTCACCGCACCTCTGCCTTTCCCAATCCATCACCATTCAGATCATAATCTGCCTTCCTGATCCCACCTCACATTTAGCCACATTATACTGTATCTGCCATGTATTTACCCAGTCACTCAGCCTGTCCAAATCACACTGAGACATCGCTGCATCCTCCTCACAGCTCACCCTCCCACCCAGCCTTGTGTCGGCTGCAAACTTGGAGATATTATGGAAGTTAATATGGAAATCAATTGTGAATTATCAATTGGATCTTTTACTACATTACTAATTAATCCTGCCTTGTTGCAAAATGCTAGATCTAATGGTTTTTAAACAGCAACACAGTTGGTGCAACAACAAATGGCTCCACAGAAGTGTCACAAAAATATTCTATAGACTAGCATTCCACACCATCTTTCCTAGTTTGACTCAGCTAGTCTAAGTGAAGATTAAAGTACTCAGAATTGCATTGCTTTTGTTATAAACTGCCTTTGTTTCATGTTCAATGGTATAACTTCTAAAAAAAAATTCATTCACAGGATGTGGGCATTGCTGGCTGGCCAGGATTTGTTACCCATCCCTAGTTGCTCTTGAGAAGGTGGGGGTGAGCTGCCTTCTTGAACTGCTGCAGTCCACCTGCCTGGGTTGACCCACAATGCCATCAGGAAGAGATTGTAGGATTTTGACCCAGTGAAAGCAAAGGAACGGCAATATATTTCCAAGTCAGGACAGTGAATGGCTTGGAGGGGAACTTGCAGGGGGTGGTGTTCTCATGTATCTGCTGCCCTTGTCCTTCTAGATGGAAGTGGTCGGGGGTTTAGAATGTGCTAAGGATCGTTAATGAATTTCTGCAGTGCATCTGGTACACACTGCTGCTACTGAGCGTCAGTGGTGGAGGGAGTGGATGCTTGTGGATGTGGTACCAATCAAGCGGCTGCTTTGTCCTGGATGGCGTCAAGCTTCCCGAGTGTTGTCGGGGCTGCACCCATCCAGGCAAGTGGGGAGTATTCCATCACACTCCTGACTTGTGCCTCATAGATGATGGACAGGCTTTGGGGAGTCAGGAGGTGAGTTACTTGCTACAGTATTCCTAACCTCTGACCTGCGCTTGTAGCTACTGTGTTTGTATAGTGAGTCCAATTGAGTTTTTGGTCAATGGTAACCTTCCAGAATGTTGATTATGGGAGATTTCAGCAATGGTTATGTAATTAAATATCAAGTGGGCGATATAGCATGTCCAACTTCCGATCAGAATTGGTACTTGGAACTTAAGAAATTTCTTCTGAAAAAAATGTGGATGGAGCTCTCCAGAAGCCAACACTTTGCATTAGATTTACTATAGAGACATCCACAGTAAATGAAGGGCACTGTTGCTAGATACCTGAATTGGCTGAGCAGGGCAACCCACCTTGTGTTTGGCAAGATTCATCTGAAGCTGAAGACAATAACCACAAAGTCACAACGGCCATTTCCACTGAACAATCTGAAGGACAAGGAGACATCAGCAGCCTTCTCCAACTGTGCTCACACAACATTGAGGAACACATGGAAACCTTAAGCAGAAGCATAAGTGAGCGTGCAGAGGTGACTATTAGGCAATGGGCAACAACCAACGAAGGATGATGGATCACTGGCCCAACATGGAAGTTGAATGGTGAAAGAAAGCTGGTGAAGAGTAAGACGGACCAGGAAAAGAACACTGTGCAAAGACAAGACGTTAATGAGAAGACAACTGGATAAAGTTAGGAAGAAGTCCTGTGCAAGAAAGACATGAGAACGTACAGACTTAAACAACAGGGAGGCAGCTATAAACCTTCACCCCTCCAGGACGCTGTACAAGATTGTACAGGAACTGATCAAAATAAGAAGCAACCAAGCTGAAGTCAGGATGGCAGTGTGCAAAGTGCAGGAGGCAAGGTAAATGGAAGATTATCAAGCAACCCAATTCTGGTTTCAAACGTGACAGAATAGCAGTTGTCAGACTGAAACAACTGCCAGAGCTCGGTCTAAAGAAACACCAAGAACCTGAAAAACAAGACAGTGGGCATCAACAGAGCTGTTAAAACATGATAAGGAGGCTGACACGGAACTTATCAACAAGATCAGGACAGTAGAGGATGTCGCGGATGTGACTGCAGAGATGTACACTATTTGTTAATCTGCTGAAGAAAAGAACCATCGAGGACTGCAACAACAGGAAGGAGAGAAGGACCCGGGCATGTTAGTCAGCAAGGTGCTATCCAACAGGAGGAAAGCAGAGCGAAACTCTGGCATATGTCCTGAGGGCAGGGCACAGCGTACTTTATGCTCAATATCAGATTGTCTGCAGCCACTTGGAATCGCTCTGGGACATCTCCACATCCAACAGTCACTCTCGTACACTCCTGCATCCCACACTCAATCTAGGATGTTTCATAGAATCATAGAATCCCTACAGTGTGGAAGCAGGCCCTTCGGCCCAACAAGTCCACACCACACCGACCCTAAGAGCATCCCACCCAGATCCATCCCCCTGTAACCCACCGAATCTACATATCCCTGAACACTACAGGCAATTTTAGCATGGCCAATCTACCTACCCTGCACATCTTTGGACTGTGGGAGGAAACCGCTGCACCCAGAGGAAACACACGCAGACACAGGGAGAATGTGCAAACTCCACACAGACAGTCACCCGAGGGTGGAATCAAACACAGGTCTCTGGTGCTGTGAGGGAGTAGTGCTAACCTCTGAGCCACCATGTTTCCACACACACTCCGGGACAACGCCAGGACCCTGGGACATGTGAAGCAGAAACAAGCACGGGAATTCCTAGAAGCTTGGTTCTCCACTGAGAAAGCCATCAATAAACACACAGAGCTAGGCCCCATAAGCACTCCATGTGAAAGAAAACCGGAAGTGAGGTAATCCAGCTCAATGGACCCCGAGTTTAAATGACAGGCGGGAAAACACAACAGCGCTTCATCGGAGGCTGCACTGATGATGTTACCCAGCAGGGTAATGAAACGTCTGCGGAAAAACAAACAGCTTGTCGAGGCAACCAACCGCAATAAATTAAACTCCACCTGCCACTGCTTGGCCCAATGGCCCATTTGGTCAAGGTCCCATTGTACTCTGAGGTAACCTTCGCTGCCCACATACCAATTTTGGCTCATCTGCAAACTTACTAACCATATTTCCTGTGTTCACATCCAAGTTATTTATATGAATGATGAGAAGCAGTGGAACAAGCACCGATCTTTGTGGCACACCGCTGGTCACAGGCCTACTCTAAAAAGCAACCCTCCATCACCACCCTCTGTCTCTGAACTTCCAGCCAACTTTGTATCCAATGGAGATAACAAGGTATAGAGCTGGATGAACACAGCAGGCCAAGCAGTATCAGAGAAGCAGGAAAGCTGACGGTTCGGGTCCCCTGAGGCTGCTTGGCCTGCTGTGTTCATCCAGCTCTACACCTTGTTATCTCAGACTCCAACATCGGCAGTTCCTACTATCTCTTTGTATCCAATTGGCTAGTTCTCCTTGTATTCCATGTGATCTAACCTTTCTAACCAGTCTAACATGAGGTACCTTGTTGAACACTTTACTGATGCCTATATAGATCACGTCCATCACTCTGCCCTCATCAATCCTTTTCGTTACTTTGTCAAAAAACTCTATTAAGTTAGTGAGACACGATTTCCCACGTGCAAAGCCATGTTGACTATCCCTAATCAGTCCTTGCCTTTCCAAACACATTTAAATCCTGTCCTTCGGGACACCCTCCAACAACTTAACAACCATGAATGTTTCCTATTTATTCGCCCCCTCCCCCCAACCCATTACCGGGCGACGTTTATTCCCTCCCCCCAACCCATTACCGGGCGACGTTTATTCCCTCCCCCCAACCCATTACCGGGCGACGTTTATTCCCTCCCCCCAACCCATTACCGGGCGACGTTTATTCCCTCCCCCCAACCCATTACCGGGCGACGTTTATTCCCTCCCCCCAACCCATTACCGGGCGACGTTTATTCCCTCCCCCCAACCCATTACCGGGCGACGTTTATTCCCTCCCCCCAACCCATTACCGGGCGACGTTTATTCCCTCCCCCCAACCCATTACCGGGCGACGTTTATTCCCTCCCCCCAA